AGGCTTCAGTCAAAGATGTGCCAAACGCGGTTTTACTTGATGCTGCTAAGTATTCACAGGCCGGAGGAGAGCGAGAAACGTGAATGACTTTTTTCAGCTGCATGCGCTTGTCATGTTCTTGAGTTCCTTCTCTCTTGCTGTTGCTTTTCCTTTCTTGAGGCCTTTCTTTAGGTTCCAGGTGCTTTTCAGAAACGAGTCCGCCGGCCTCATAATCGGCTGGAATGTCATGATGACATTGCCTTCGGGCCACCCTAACCCACCCTCCCCCTACCTCCCTGCCCCTGGCCTCCGTTGCTACCCCGCCCGCTATCTAGGGTTATAGGAGGAAATCGCACTCAACACACTTGTGTGTTGGTGCCTTTCCTTCTATTTCTCCTGTCCTACTTCCAGCTACCCGGGCGGCTTAAGACTAAAGTCCCGCTCGCTAACTTCTGCGCGTATTGTAACTAACAGACCTCGTCACTAGTGGGCCTCGTAACTACACCTATCTTTTTCTCCTGCCCTCTTCGGCTTCTCTTTCTGTCTTTTCTTTTCTTGCTAAGGCTTGTTAGGTGACTACTAAATTTTCTGAGCGCCGAAATCGGCCTGGTGTGCGCGTAAGTCCACACCTGTTGTAAAGAAGTGTTTAAACACGCGGGGCGGCTAAGTAATCAGTAACTACCTTGCAGGTTTCATAACTAAAGGGGGTTCGTAACTGCGCCTGTCTTTCTCTCCTGCCCTTTTCGGTTTTATTTCTGTCTTGCTTTTCCTTTTGTTAGGTGACTACTAAACTTCCTGAGCGCCGATAGCGGCCTGGTGTGTGTGTCCACACCTGTTCCAAAGGAATTTCAACAAGGCAGGGGGCAGCGACAGAGTTTGTGGAATCACTGCCAACGAAGACGTCCACATTCTCTGGTGATGCATCGGCTGCAGCGATTTAATCAGTTGAACTGTTGCACAAGCTGTCCAGTCCTGTGTTTCGCAGTAAATGGCTAATGCACAAAAACAGCTTGTTAAACACCTTCAAGTTTACGGACTTTTTAGCCTTCGGGTTCGTGCGCCTTTCCGTTTCTTCAAGTCAAGTGGGACTTCATTCTGATCCTAGCTCTTGCGAGCAACCATCCAAGTGTGTTTCGCCGCAGAGTCCCACTAAGGGCTGTGGTGTGATCCCCATCGAGGGGCGCTGCGTGTGCATAGACCCAGATTCAGGGGGACCCAGGCTCTTTTTTTAACCTCGGCCGGCGTGTGGCACCGCTATCCGGCAGTACACAAATCTATAAGTGTGTGTCCACACCTGTTCCAAAGGAATTTCAACAAGGCAGGGGGCAGTGACAGAGTTTGTGGAATCACTGCCAACCAAGACGTCCACATTCTGTGGTGATGCATTCGGGAGACGTCCTGGTGTGCACCTGCAGTGATTTAATCAGTTGAACTGTTGCACAAGCTGTCCAGTCCTGTGTTTTGCAGTAAATGGCTAATGCGCAAAAACAGCTTGTTAAACACCTTCAAGTTTACGGACTCTTTAGCCTTCGGGTTCGTGCACCTTTCCGTTTCTTCAAGTCAAGTGGGACTTCATTCTGATCCTAGCTCTTGCGAGCAACCATCCAAGTGTGTGTGCGCCTTCTCTTGTTGTCAAGTAGCCCAAAAGTAAATGTACACATGTAGAATACACGCATGTAGGCAGGACGGAAGCTCCTCCACTAAGGTGCTTGACAGCCTCACTGTGTTCTCGTCGAAGGACTCTTGGAGCAGTGCAAGTACACCCGTGTTAGGATGACCCTACACTCCTACCAACGTTTCAAAAATTCGTGTGACTGCAAACAAATACATGCTGACAGAGAGTATTGAAGCCCCTCCTTTTTTTCAGGACCTAAGCCTTGTCTTCTGGGCAGCTTCCAGAAGCCTGGCTGCTCTTTTTTGGCCTGGAAGTTTCTTTTGGAATCTTTTGGAAGTGCTCCTTCACTTCTTCAGTTTCTCAGTTTCGTTCTGGAACTCTAGTGCTTTCACTCATTGACCTCTCTGGAGCATCTTAAAGTGTGGACGAGCTCTTCTGGGTTCAGTGAGCCACTTGGAAAGTCATGGTAGCTGAGGAAACCACTTCATTTCGGAGACATGTTCTGCACAGCTGACGAAAGAGGTGCTTTTGTGTCAAGCTAAAGGCTTTTGCTAGCTGATGAGATGCTTTGCAATGAGGATGGACTAAGATGGACTAAGACCTTAGGTACTATTGTTTGTGTAGTGACCTGTTTTTTTGGAGGAACTATATACTGCAGTATATACTTCTATATATATAAACGTCCAGTAGTCCGAGGCGTTCACCTGCAATCTGATGAATCATGCATTGACGTGCACTTGGTCTTTTATCATCGTGCAGGTCATGCGGAGAGATCTTTCAAACTTCTCGGCACAGGACCTTGCACTCTTGACGTATTGTCCAAGCTTTCGTTCTGCGGCGGTGCAACTGCGACTAATGGCAATATTGTGTTGGAGACATATTACGAAAGCCAGCCGATAGGCAAGGCTTGAGCTTTTAGGGCGAACGAAGTGAGGTAAGGGGGTGTGGGGGTGGGATGGTCGCTGAGCAGAACCTTTTGATAGGGTGAACCCAGAGCTTGGCGGGGGAGAGCGCAAAGCGAGGGTCCGAAAAGCAGTGAAAATGAGGTCTGGTGATGCGAGTGATGTCATGGACGCTGAGTCGTGCATCATTAGCACCATGAAGGGCTTTTGGAAACTAGAGGACTCGAGTGGAGACAGGGCCCACGTACAGGGACCCACGTAATGAAGCGGCAGCTGGCTTTCGCCCCCCCTTCTCAGGCTTGGCATATTTGTTCTGGCTGTTTTTTGGAAGTGTCCGAGTATCCTGACACGAAGTTGCAGTAATCATTGGAAGAAGGAAAGGTGTCATTGTAATTGAGTCAAGTCTTGATGAAGCGCCCTTTGTGCATTTGGGTGGTGGGCCCACCCTTCTGGGTTGGCACTTCTTCTGGCCACGCAGTGACTTCACTCGTAGGCTGGTGACTGCCGAGACGTGTTTTGGACCAGTATACGGCATGTCGGTAAAACAACAGGCTTGTGAGGCATGCAGCTCTTTGCATGCGAAACTTGCCTGAACGAGAAGAATTGAACTATGCTAAAAGAACGTGGAATCCTGTTGCCCGGTTTTTGGAGCAAAATACCGACGGAGAAGTGTACTTTTTTTCGCCTGGAGTGATGTCGGACATGACGGTTTTGATCTGACGGTAAGATCTCATATCGAAGCTGGTGTGCCATTGGGGCAAGCCATCAAAGCAGTGCAAATAAGAAGAGATGAACAACATACTTCTCCATCTTGTTGATCCTAGATCTGAATCTGCACGGCGCAGTAGATTTGATGCCTGCAGTGTGGTTTCGCTCTAATCCCGAACTGATCTCTCTTTCTATCTCTACAGCCTCCAACCCTGGTTTTTTGATGTTTTTTGAAAGGATGAGGTTGTGTGTTGTGACCTCCCCCAACTATGTACTCCCAAACGCATATAACACCGTTGTGACTTCATGTTTTTGGCTTCACTCCATTGCGATTTGTGATTAGGGTTTTTGAGAAGTCGTTGCTTGTGTCTAGGAGTGGAGGCGTTTGTTGTTTGGGAATTTATGTGTCCGGCTTGCTGCTGTTGGTTTGCTGCTGGTTGGTTGCTGCTGATCTGCTGCTGTGGGTTGGCTGCTGCTGGTTGGCTGCTGCAGCTTGGCTGCTTCTGCTTGTGTGCTGCTGGTTGGCTGCTAGCTGGTTTGCGGCTGTTTTGCTGCTGTTGGTTCGTTGGTGGTGGTGGTTGTTGGTTGCTGCTGCTGCTGCTGCCTTTGTCACAGCAAATATGTGTAAGCAAACACCTCTTCAATTTGCATGGCCCCCCCAAGCAAGAAACGATAAATTTGCAGAGTTCATGTTTTAAAGCATTCATGTTCACATGCTCGCAGGTGTGCCAAGCGGAAGTATGTTTTTTGCAGTCTTGCAAAGATAAGAAAGCAACACGCCAGGGAAGGCAACACGCAAGCAAACCATACTTTTTGTTGTGGACTCGGCACACTTCCGGCAAAGATTTGAAGCAGGTGTGCCAGAGGGATGATAATGTGGGATTTGCTCCTGTGATGTGGGATTCGTGAAAACGGTGTGCCGTGGGGATGATGCGGTTTCTACTAGGTAGCCTCTCATGTGGGTAAGCTCTCCCGCCCGTCCCCATGAACACTTGTCTCTGCTTTGCACCAGGATCTTTGCATGATGGCCCAGTGCTTGGCCAAGATGGGAGGTCGTGGAAAGGCCGATTTTCGGTGCTCTGGTCGCGCGCGATATGTTTTTACCAAAGACCCATTCAGACTGATCTAGATGATATATTTGAAGCCGGAGTGGGGTTGATACGTTGTTTGAAAGAAAACTAAGAATCATATCATTTTCATCGGATGTCGTTTGGAACGTAGAGACCACGATTTTTTCTGGCCACTTTACTTTCTGCAGCCATCAAGGCATCAAGTGTCCAATATAATAAAGCCTACGTTCATAACCTTCTGCCAAAGACCCTTCTCGTGGCTGATTCTGGAGCACCATGGCGACGGGATTTATGTGCTTTCCTCAGACATGATTGATATTGACACGATTGCTTGAAACTGTGTTGGTATGAGCCTGGCTTTCCCAATTCCCCCAGACCCAACCTTTGCACAGTTTTACCTCGAGCAAAGACGCTACTAGGAGCTCCTGGCATCGCTACTAGGAGCAAAGACGCTACTAGGGGCTCCTGGCCGTACTACTAGGAGCATTCTTGCTACTAATAGCCAGAACGTTTACGAGATTTCCAGACCTGGTTCAAGTCTGATTCAAGTCTTGTGCGGCGAAGCCTACCTGTGAGGCCTTTGTTCTTCCTGACGTTTGCTGTTACCTCCAATGCCCACAACTTCTTGAATTCCAATGAAGTGACGGAAAATGAGGCAAGGGATATGGCCGGACAGTGGTCAACCTCACGGACAGATTTTCTTCCTTGGAGGTGCAGCAGAGCTTGATGGACAACCTGCAGAGCAACGTTGAGCAGGGGCAGAAGTGGGCTGAAATTCACCAGGCTTGGTCTTGGTGTTTTCTTTTGCTTTAACTGCGAGACACATTGCAATTTGGACATCACATAAACGACTTTGCGAGCCCATTTTTGACATTTGGCCAAGCGTGCCATTCTCAACAACTCAGTAGGCGCTTTTGCCCACGTACAACGCTCTGCCGAAGAATTCGACCCGGCCTTGAATCTCTTGCGTCAGCTCTTCTGACCACTGCAATTATCATGAAAGTGACAGCTAAGTCAACTGCATGCCTTAGGCAGGGCTTGATTGACCACCAAGCGGTGCGTTACGTGCTTCACCGCATGTTCGTTCAGAAGTATGGCTTCTAAGCTGCATCGGAGCAGTGTCAGCTTTCTTATCGAAGTTGACCATCTTGTTGTCTCCTGTGGACCACGACCAAGTACCACTTCAAGTATGAATCCACCTGCCTCTATTTGTTAGGGTCTCTGAGAACTATGTTCTAAAGTTCCCAGCTAAGTGACTCTAGATCGTCAATCTAAGGTTGGTATATCAAAGGATTGGAGCCCAGCGGAGATCATTGGCATGAAGAGTCTACAGACAAGCCTGAGCTTGCCAAAGTCAAGGACTAGTCGTCAGAACTGGTGCTAGGCGTGTCACGAGCTTGATTGAACATGCTTGAAGAGGAGTTTGTGCTTTGTGTCAGGAGTGGGTACCCAGCTACTTGCAAGATTTGCTGGAAAAGCGGCTCCATCACAAGGTGCGACTGGTGCGGCTCTCCTGACTTTGGTCTGACTTAGCTTATTTCACTGTCTGCTCCAGACCAGACACTGCTCCGCACCACGTCTCTTGCAGGGGCTTGACCTCAACAGCCTGGTCCAGCTGGCCCTTGCCCTTGAGGCTCGGGCCGTGGCCATCCGTGGCTTTTGAGTGATCCAAAACCAAACCACCTGGATTGAGTACCCGGCTTGACATCTCTAAACAGAAAGTCCTTTTGCACAGTCCAGCTTGGATTTGTCACAATAATTCCTTTTGGAAGGTCTAGAGCCACTGTTTTCCCTGGCGTGACATTGCAGGAATTGAGCTGTTGATACTTTGACGTTCATTTCAACTGTCCAACAGAGGATCGGTTATGTAAGATGGTATTCCTTTGATGTCCGTGTACCACGTCGTCAAAGATTCCAGAGTGGGATAGATAAGCCAACTGTAAGTCAAAGCTACTTCATGAACACACAATGGGGCTCCAGCAACCTCAACATATGAACAATGACAACGGCTTGCAACCAACCTCGACAACAGCCATTGAACACTTCGAAGGGCAGATGCTGTACTGTAGATGATATAGATACTACTACAACCAGGCTTCGCGCTCGAGGGTTTGAAATTCCGTAATATCGTAGACGTACTGGGTGTCCGAGGGTGGGTAATTCTGGTGTGCACATTTGACTAGACCGTGCACCAATCTCTTCGTTCACCCGTATGTTCACATGAGATGACCCTTTGATAGGAGTTGAGATGTTGCATTGACCTGCAGCAGCAGCTATCTATGAAAACCTGCTCTAGGGTGGAGGGAGGGTCCGTTCTACGTCGGTGATGTTTGGTCTAAACAAAACAATTAAATAATGTCCATATAGTAACCTAGGGTGGTATGATTGAGCAAGTTTCATTGGATCGCTGGCCCTCCAAAACGCTACAAACAAACAAGGGAAAATGCATAGGTTAACTTGCATAAAGAAGATTTGCCAAGTCCTACAAACTTTCTTGTTGCTTTACATGGACAGCATGACACAGTTCCTTGCAATATGAAGAGCTTCTGCTGTTGGAAATGAACACAATAGGAGGTTTTGCTGCGAGTCGTCCTGCAGAGGAGCTTGTGAACCACGAGTCAAAGAACCGATTGACCACAGCCTACGAAATTCATGATTTCCCAACGCTTCTTGCTTGCATACATCAGTTGGCTTTGTGAGGCAATCATTCCTAGTTTTGGAACTTTGAGATCACTTTCCAAATCAGCGAAACACACTGTTGTGTCAACAACTGTTTTGCTTGCAGCTTCGGGTCTCAACCCCCAGTGTTTCTGTGCTTTCAGGGATGGGGGATTGACCAGAGATGAAGCAGATGACCTTGTGCGCACCTGGTACGTGAGCTTCCTGTTGGCCGGGAACTTCTCAGCCAGCTCTCCGGAAGAGGTGCATGCAAAGAAGGCCGTTTTTGCCAGGAGCCAGGGATGAGCGGTTCAGAAGCTGACGAATGCTCCCGAAATTGAAATGGGACAGTACATTATTGGTTGTTCTTGGTGTTCAATCTCTGGATAGCAGCAAGAAAGGGGTCGTAGCCTTTGCCTCGAAGTCTGGGCACACTAGGTTAGGTTGTGGCTTTTGATATGAAATATTGAATCCATCGAAAGTTGGCAACTTTGTTTGCCTGAATTGACCCGCAGGAAGTATTCCGACGCTCCCTCAGATTCTCCAGCTGTCAAGTGACACTATCAGGCCGTGAAGTTATACAAGGATCTATAAGACAATACATGCCAAAACAAGTGAACCATAACACAACGAAACATGGAAGAAGCAGGTTGAGTCGTGCGACAAGTGTCTCTTGCAACCAATTGTTGTTTGTTACCAAGGACTGGCAGGATGCGGAGAACTGGCTGGGAGAGCTGGAAAAGGAGCACTACGAAGGCTTTGAAGTGGACCTGGTTGTTGTTTGTGTCGACGGGTTGCTCAGATTCCTGCAGGCAACCAAGATTTTGGCAAACCATCAGTTGGTGGTTGAGAGGTGGAGTTTACCATTGACATTCACTTGTTTTCCGAGAGGTGAACCTGCACAAACCTTCGACTCCAACTTCCGTCTTGTGCAGAAGATTGGAGAGAGGCGCCTGAGCCAGTCAGTCAGTTAAAGCTAAAGCATTCACCATTGCGGGTGTCCGGGTCTCATTATGTGATCTGGGATTGAAACGGATGGACATCGAAATAGCTCAACGCCCTGGGCATTGCCAGGTGTTTAGCAGACGATGAAAACGATGGATGCTTTTGTCTTGCCCTGAAGGTATTTCCACTTCAATGATGGCGAGTGCCGTGCATTGAAGGCCACCATGCAAGACATGGAAGGTTCCTTGGATTGAACAAGAGGATTTGGTCAATGAGGTGGGACGATTTTGAGCTTCAAAGTGGTCTGTCAAGGTATCAGAGACAAAAGAAAACTCCACTATTCAAAGGCTGTCACACGGATGCTGAGGCAAAAAGGCTGGCCGAGTGCGGCTCTCCACCTTCTATAAGAAGTCCCTCTACAGCCACTGGCGATTTACGGAGAAGGCACCTAACGAGCGGAGGAACAGATCTGATGAAAGCAACTCTAATTCTAATTCTTGTTACTACTAGCTTCTTGTTACTACTAGTAAGGCACTTGTTCCTAGAAGCGATGCACTTGTTCCTAGTAGCTATTTTCTTATTTTTCCATCTCCCTCTCTCTCTCTCTCCCTCTCCCTCTCTTCAGAGCAGGTTGGGAAGGTTGCAAAGGTCCCAAAAGAGACCTGCAAACCGACTGCTGTTCACTGTCCACTGAAACGAGGCAGACTATTTGCGGAAGCTGGGCGCTCTTGATGACTCTGATCCTCAGCAACCCCAGGTCATCATGGCGAACTATATGATGGTGCTGTTCTTGGAACTGTTCGAGATGTCCATTCGAGACTGTGGATCCCCTGAAATCACGTGTTTGAAGAAGACATGTGTTGAACAAAGCTCTTGAAACTTCCATTGGTCTTTCAAGGGCGTACTATGTAGGTGACATATCTTTAATGATCCTTAATAGTCAAAATATCACGCACTGTGGTAACCCCTAACTTGCCATGTCATAAGGGTTCATGTACAGTGTTTTCGGTCGTCGGTCGACAAGTCATTGTTTCACACCGACGCCCATCATGGCTCAAGAAACGATTGCGCCCGCGGTCGTTTCAGCGCTCGCGCACGTCGCTTCGTTCGGTCGCGCCGTGCCACTTTCGCACTCGTTGCTTTCGGGTTTGTGTTGTAGGTGGCCGTAGGAGCTCCTTCCCCAAACCCGCACTCCTGCACACCACGGGTTCCAATCCTTCGGGTGTTCCCCGCCGTGTGCCTTCTAGGACCAGGGTCCTCCACACCATCGGATATCTTTCATCCACCCTTCCCCTAAATAGGTTGTGGTGGTTGTTTACTGATATTCCGGAACCCTTGTCCCTTTCATTGGTTATCAGCCGTAGGTCTAACCAACCTACGAGCTCTAATAGTCCGCCTCTTTTAGACCCAATGCCGAGGGTTACGCCACCTAGGTCACCCCGTCCCGAGTCAGCGCAAGCCGCTGCCTCCGGCGCGGATTCGCTAGGACTAAGTAGTGACCCTGACCCTAACCTAAGGTCCCCGCCAGCAGCCGCAACGCAAGCCGCTGCTCCAAGCGCGGATTCGTTAGGAGTTGGCACGGGTGAGGCAGAGGTTGAGGTGACGTCCTTGTCAGAACTCGGTTCACTAGCCATCGATGCTTTGAACTTGTTCATCGACAACCAAGACCCACCAGCCGCTGCCGCAGGCGCGGGTTCGGACAGCTCGAAGTGGGCAGGAGCAGCCTCGGAGGCTGATTCAGGCCCAACTCTCTTTCCACCTTCCGTGATTGAGCACGAAGATAGAGACCTCGAGCTTGAAGAGCCCTTCGCCGGTCCGACGGGTCTAGAATACCCAGGCGACACTGAGATCCACCCTCTCGATAGCCCCACGGCCGAAGGCCATCCGGCCCCCGTGGATGAGCATTCGTTAGGCAATACCCAAGACATGCAACCCTCCCCTGATCAAGACCATCCGGTCCCGGAGGAGGCAACTTCGGCCAGTGCGGACGCCCCTAATCCGACAGACCAAGGCGATCTCGCCCCTGCGGAGGAGGAGCCTGAAGAGTTCGTGCCGCCCGAAACCCTAATTGCCCAGGCATCATCTACACCTAATAGTCCTCCCCTATCCACTAATAACCTGTTTGATCCACTTGGTGAAGACGAGGAGTCCTCCGCCGAGGACGTTGTGGAAGAGGGGATTGCGCAACGCATCCAAGAACAGTACGACTTGGAGGCAGCGCTGGAGGAGTCAGCCCGGATCGCAGGCGTTGAGCCGGAACCGGCTGATTTGGGTGTCGGTGAAGCCGCTGCCACTGGCGCGGGAAAGGGGGAGAGAGACCGCACCCGCAGGAGGGGATGCCGTGCCGGCGCCAAACACGTCGCGGGCCGTGAAAACCTCTCCTATGGGCAGACGTGTGAATACATCCGTGCACAGCTCGGTGATTCCACTTATGCGCGGTTCGGCCGCCGCTTCAATCTCCCTCACATTCCCCCGCAAGTGGCCCGCAAGCAGTACCCAGAGTGGTTCGGATATGTTCTTCGACACTCTGAGAGGTGGGCGTCTGATGCAGAGGGAGAGCTTTTGCCAGTGGACACCATCACTCGATGGGCGACCATCCTGCCAGAACTGTGGCAGTTCCTCTATTCGATCGACTCCACTTTGCTGCAAGGTATTCCACAGCCGAAATACAGACTACTGCCCTCTTCGTCCACCATTCATGTTAGTGCTAATGCTGACCTATATGAACTAGATGCCGAAGACTCAGATAACTCTGACCCTGAGGCTCGCTCACGTCGCATCCGCAATCTTGAAGGTAGGACTGAAGACGCCGGTTGGCTCACATGGTTGGAGGGCCATCGTCCTAAGACCAGTCAGCCAAGTCACCCAAAGCCGAAGTTGGCCGAGCCAGCATCTAAGCGTGTTCGAGTAGTTCTAACACCAGATGCACTAAAGAGGGCGCCACCCATAACGCCCCCACATGTTCGACAAGTAATAATAGTCCCTAAGAATAAACCAAAGGGTGCCTCAGTAGCTGCCGGTCCTAGGGTCCCATTGCATGAACCTCAGTTGTCAACAGCCACTGAGACAGTGTTCGTGCCATCCCATCCGCCTCAGCCGCCGCCTCAGGCGCGGGAGGCAGCGCAAGCCAGCGCTACACCAATTGCGCCCCCGGTGTCTCAACCGCCTGTCGCCAAAGCGTCCGGGTCCCAGAGCACGCCACCTCCGGTGGTATCGATCGAGTCATCGTCGGCATCTCCGCCACCGGCGAGACCGCCGTCGAAAGCACGCCCGGTCCGCTCAAGGTCTCCTCCTACCAAGGTCAAACCACCCCCGCCGGAGGCGAGGCAATTGTCTGCCGAAGCCAAGCGGCGAGCGTTCGAAGCCTTTGAGGAGCGCAACAGACCCGTGCGTGTCGAGACAGACAGCGCAGGCAAGCCGCTGCCAGCTGGTGCTCGTGTACCAGTAGGCGCGGGCATCACGGCTGCAGCCCCGTCCGATCCAACCCCACCTGGGGGCGGTGACGACGACCAAGGCGAGCCATCGACACCGAGAACCCCTAAGACACCCCCAAAGCCCAGATCGCCTGATCGACCTCCTAGCCAGCATGCCACATCGGGGCTTCCCTACAAGACCCCGCCAGGCTCGTTGACCGGAAGATCAGCCTCGTGGGAACGGGACCCAAGACGGCAACCAGAGCCGGCTCCTCCTAGGCCTGTAACACCGAAGAGGAAGCCCCCTCCACCTAATCCTTATCCATATCCGTATGGTAAGCCTGCAGGTGTGCCGTCAGTTCCCCATGACACGACATGGGCTTCGCAAGCTGCCTCATCGACAGCTGCACCTAACGTCTTGGACAATTCGTGGTGGGTACCAAAGGCTGCTGCGCGCGCCGATAGTCACGAGGAGCCGCCATCTGGTGGAAGGCTTGCCCCACACAGGCCACCCTCCGGCAGCCCTGCCTCAGACACGCCTCGAAGCGTCCATCCTACCACAAGATACCAACCGAACCCGTTGCCCCGGTTGTTTGGGCAACAGTTGGCAAACCCGCATACCCTAGTCCCTCCTCAAGCGGGCGTCTTTGAAGTTGGCCTCGACTGGCATAAGGTACTAGATACCATGCTGTCTCCGGTGCGTACACCAACCAACATCCTCACAGACCGCCTTAAACAGCTTGAATCGCTTCCTGCTCGAATAACAATCATCTCCTTCACGGGCGCGGGAGACCGCTACGACTCGACCATCCAGGAGATAGATTCGTTTCGAGACCAATGCCGCGCGTCCGGCTGCCAGATGGGTGGCGGCTTTTACCTTACGAATGAGAAGACGGGACGCGGAGGAAAAGCCGAGCTCGTGAGCCGGCTCAGGATCCGAGCGTTTATGGATGATCGAGCTGACATCCTTGCAGAGATCCGACGCACTGGTTGCTTCGCGATGGGCTACCAAGCCAGGGACTACCCTACGGAACCTAGTGGAGCCATACAGGTGTTAACCGACTATATTTGGTCGCACCTTGCCCACTGGGATGCACATCATCCCCTGCAAGCCTTCGTATTGCAACAATACTCAGGCCAGGGCGGGCGCGGCGGTGGACGCCGCCGCCGATGAGTGCACATGCTAGCCGCTGCTCTACGCGCGGGCCCTTTCGTTGTTCGTTAGGGTAGGCATGTTCCAGGGTGCATTCATGGGTATGTGGTCATGCAGTCATGCATCAACTAATCATACCATAACTTTCAACTCAGCTGTTGTTGTTTTAGTTTCATCCCAATGCACTCATGCCGCTGCCCCATGGCGCGGAAGTCCTGCCGCTGAAAGCGCGGGCCTGGGCAAAGACCCTTTCGTTTCGTGCATGCAAAAGTTTGCTGGCACGCCTGGGAAGGATGGCGAACCACACAGGTATCACACCTCCTTCGGACCCTTCCTCCGCCGGTCGCTCTCGTTCGTCACCTGAGTTCGAAACGGCCCCAAGCAGAGGTAGGGTCCCGGCCGCATCGGTCACCGTCACCACCAGAACCCGGGGTACGCGACAGAATCGCGTCGAGCCCCGCCCTGGTCCCAGGACAATGGCGGAAGAGTCGCCTTCATCGGAGGAGCCCAGGCGGCATCGTGGCGTGAGTGCACGGGGCAGGGAGCTGTTGGACAGGGGGGCACCTAGTAGTTCTAGTCAACGACCGGTACCCTTCATATCACTAGCCTCTGTTCCTAAGCCGTCCCAACCTTACATACATAATCCTATAGACCCCAATATGCCGGCAGCTGCTTTTGTAGCCGGAGCAGCAATACAAGAGGCTAACCAAGCGGCACACATAGCCCATCATGCTGCATCGATGGCTGAACAGCAAGCCCTCGAAGCAATGAGAGCTAGACATTTAGCGGCCCAAGCCGAAGAACATGCGACACAGGTCCAGTCCCAGGCTCAGTTCGTTGTCCATGAGACTCGCCAACAGGCTGAGAACATGGTAGGACAGGCTAAGGCTCAAGCTGAGGCTATGGTCGGTCATGTTAGGGCACAAGCCGAACAGTATGTTCAGTCCCAACAGCATGAACATGTTCAGCGCCAACGTCAACTTGAGCAACAAGCTCATCAGTGGGCGTCCGGTGTAGAAGCCGCATATCGTGCCCATGTGGACCAAGTAAACACAAACGCGACTGCCGAACTCATTGAACTGCAGAGGCAGAACGCGTACCTCACCCAGCAACTCGCCGCCAGATCACCGGTACCAAGCTCCCCAAAGGAGCCACCGATCTCACCGGCGCCCTCAACACAACCCCTTCACAGTGTCCGTTCGACATTGAGCCACC